GTTGGTGAGAGGCGTGTTGAGACAGCCCTGACTATGCTCAACCTTATTCCTGACTCTGCACTCAAGGATTATTCCTGGCCATGCTCGGGGGACCAGGAACCATGGTATATAGAATACCTGGCTTAGAATTGTTGGAAGAGAGCCCTATAAAATTTTTCAAAATTAAAAATATACAGCTTATACTTCAGGAAATAAAAGAGGACATGAGGAAATGGAAAGATATACCCTGCTCATGGGTCGGGAGAATTAACATTGTCAAAATGGCAATACTACCGAAAGCATTGTATAAATTCAATGCAATCTCTATAAGGATACCCATGACATTCTTCAAAGAAATGGAGCAAACACTCCTGAAATTTATATGGAACAATAAGCCCCCACGAATAGCTAAAGCAATTCTTGGGAAAAAGAAAATGGGAGGAATCAACCTCCCGAACTTCAAACTGTACTACAAAGCAGTAATAATTAAAACAGCATGGTACTGGAACAAAGGCAGAACTGCAGACCAATGGAACAGGGTTGAATACACTGACATCTCCCCTCAATCATATGATCATCTAATCTTTGATAAAGGTGCAAGTAATGTGAAGTGGAGTAAGGAAAGCCTCTTTAACAAATTGTGCTGGCATCACTGGACGGCTACATGCAAATAAATGGGCTCAGAACTCTGCCTAACACCATGTACAAAAGTAAGATCAAAATGGATTAAAGACCTCAACATCAGACCAGAAAACATAAGGTACATTGAACACAAAGTTGGAAAAACCCTCCATGACATTGAAGCTAATGGTATCTTCAAAGATGCCACGCCACTGGCCAAGCAAGTGAAAACAGAGATAGATAAATGGGACTATCTTAAACTAAGAAGCTTCTGCACCTCCAAAGAAACAGTGACCAAAATACAAAGACAGTCTACAGAATGGGAAAGGATATTCACCGAATACACATCTGACAAGGGGTTGATATCCAGGATATACAAAATACTGGTTAAACTCCACAAGAAGAAAGCATCCAACCCCATCCAAAAATGGGGCAATGAAATGAACAGAAACTTTCTCAAAGAAGAAATCCGAATGGCAAAAAAGCACATGAGAAAATGCTCTACATCATTAATCTTCAGGGAGATGCAGATCAAAACCACAATGAGATACCATCTCACACCTCAGAGACTGGCCCACATTCAAAAGAACAAAAGCGACTGATGCTGGCGCGGATGTGGCGAGAAAGGGACACTCCTTCACTGTTGGTGGGAATGTCGACTGGTTCAGCCCTTCTGGAAAACAGTATGGACGATTCTCAAAAAATTAGAAATTGAGCTCCCATTTGACCCAGCAATACCACTCCTGGGAATATATGCCAGAGAGGCAAAAATGTATAGTCGAAGTGACATCTGCACTTGTTTGTTCATTGCAGCACTCTTTACAATAGCCAGAAACTGGAAGAAACCTGAATGCCCAAGAACAGATTACTGGTTAAAGAATCTTTGGTACATCTACACAATGGAGTACTATGTAGCTGTTAGAAAAGATGAAGTCATGAAATTTACATACAAGTGGTACAACATGGAAAGTATCATGCTAAGCGAAATGAGTCAGAAAGAGAGGGATAGACATAGAAAGATTGCATTCATCTGGGGGATATAAAGTAACAAAATATGAGATTAATACCCAAGAATAGCTGAGATCAGCACCAGGAGGATTACTCCATAGCTTAGTTGCCAGCCGGGCATTCTAGAGGAAAGGGCAGCTCAGATAGAGAAGGGAGCACCAAATAAAGGGTGTTTGGAGGATCCTCCCAGGAGGGGAGATGCATGTTGAAAGTAGACTATGGACTGAACATGTTTGCCACTCAATGCCTCTTTTGCAGACCACGATACCCAAAAGGAGAGAGAGAACACAGGGGATTGCCCTGCCGCAGAGGCAGGGGGGATGGGGGGATGGGGGTGGGGGATATTACCCATGGTGGTGGAAAATGGGCACTGGTGGAGGGATGGGTATCTTATCATTGTATAATCGAAACCCAAGCACAAAAAATTGTAAATCTACAACTGTACCTCATGGTGTTTCACTAATAAATAATAATAATAATAATAATAAATGAAAGAAAATATACAGCTTAAAGGTCAGAGAGATAGTATATTGGATAAGGCTTGCATGTGGTTGGCCTGGATTTAATCCTGGCATCGCATATGGTTATCCTAATCAGGAGTGATCCCTGAGTGCAGAACCATGAATGAACTCTGAGCACCATTGATTATGGCCCCTCATTTTTAGAGTATCTACAGTATATGGAATAAATGAAGACTCCCAGACCATAGGAATGGGTATGAAAACCAGATAGATTCCAAGCAGGTAATCTTCAATAAAAGATGGAGTAGTATGAAGTAGACCAAAGAAAGCCTCTCCAACAAATGCTGTTGGGAAATCTGGCTAGCCAAATGCAAAAAAAAAAAAAGTTTTATTTTGGATCCCTGTATCACACTGTAAACAAAATTTGATTCCACGTGGATCAAATATTTTGACATTAGACTCATATCCAGAAATTACATCATGGAAAAATTCAACATGACACTGATTATAGAGGCATCATCAGTGACTCAGTGCCATTGTCCAAGCAAGCCAAAGTAAAAGATAAACAAATAGGACTATTTCAAATTAAGAAGATTCTGCATCACAAAAGCAGTGACTAGAATAAAAAGATTTCTGACTGAGTGGGAGAAAATATTCACTGATCATCTGACAAAGCACTAATACCCAAAATACATTAAACATTTCTAAAACCTAACATCAATAACAACAAAAACAAAACAATGTCATCAAAAGAGGGGTGAAAAGCTGAGGAAAAGATACTTAGGCTACAGGCATATGAAAAAATGCTCTCATCACTTAACATCAGAGAAATAAAAACAAAATAATAAGGTATCACCAGTGAGACTGGCTTATATGAAGCAGAATAGAACCAATCAGTGCTGGTTTGGATTTGGAGAAGGAAACCACCATTCACTGTTGATGGGACTATCTTTTGGTTCACCTTCTATGGAAAAAAGTTTGGTGACTTCTCAAAAAAAAAATTGGCTTCCATATGATTCAACAATTCTCCCCATATTTATTATGCATAACCCTATTTATGGGTAAGGAATGTCTTATGATGTGTCACGTGACAGCAGACAACAAATCGTAGAGGGAAATATACATATAGAGTATATATATATATATATATATATATATATATATATATATATATATATATATAGCGGAGAGCCCAGCAAGCTACTGGGAGTATCCCACCTGAATAGCAGAGCCTGGCAAGCTACATATAGTGTATGCAATATGCCAAAAGCAGTACCAATAACAGGTCTTATTCCCTGACCCTGAAAGAGCCTCCATTACGGCAGCACTGGGAAAGAGGAGTAAGGAGAGGCTGCCAGAATCTCAGGTCTGGGACAAATGGAGACGTCACTGGTGCCCACTCGAGTACAACGGTGAACAACGGGATGACAGTGATACAGTGATACAGTGAACCCTATTTATGCATGGTTATGGTTGGGCTCCATATTTATTATGCAAAATATTAACCCAACATATATCCTGAAATACAGCTTTATGTCTTTTATTTGAATAGTAAATCAGTGTCTTGTTTCTTATTTCTCATTGAAGTTATATGTCTGTTTAAAAATGAGTTTTCCAAATGTTTCTACTAAGAGAACGTTTTAGAAATAATGAGCCTGGACTTTTTTATGTTCCCACAACCAAAAGAGTGAGTGGCATGCACAACCAAACTAGTTTTTTTAAATTACTTGACTATCGTCGATTGAATTTTTATTTTTCTAAAAACAGGCATAATATGACCTATTTCACAGGCTGTTTCAGAAGTAAATTGAATACATGCATATATATGTCCATATATGTTCAACTAATGTATAGGTACTACATATGTAAGTGTGTATATATTTCAGAAAATATTTACAGTCTTCAATAAATGTTAACTATTTTTAAGATTTGCATTAGGATTTTTTTATAATTTAAAATGCCTCATGGGCTGGAGCAATAGCACAGCGGTAGGGTGTTCGCCTTACAAGCGGCCAACATGGCCGACCCGAGTTCGATTCCTCTGCCCCTCTCGGAGAGCCCGGCAAGCTACCGAGAGTATTCGATATGCCAGACACAGTAACAACAAAGTATCCAATGGAGACGTTACTGGGCCCGCTCGAGCAAATCGAGCAAAATGCCTCAAAATATTTTAAAATATGTGTTATATACTATTCTAAGTATCAGGAATAGGAACAAACCATAAGCTATTGCCCATATAGGTTATCTTTTGCTAAAACAAACAACAAAATCATAAAGTAGAACTTTCCTTTTTGACATTTTCAACAATCTTTTCAGTAAATGGGAAAATTCCTTAAAATTAGGCAGTTAGATCAGTTTTGCAAAACCTAATTAATTTTGCCTATACATATAGCATTGATTTACCCTCATTAAAATCTAGTACTAAAGCCCTGCATATTAACATTTGTCTTTAAAAAATATCAACGAGGGACTGGAAAGGCTGTACTGTGGGTAGTACCATATATTTGCCTTGCATGCTGCTGATATGGATTCGAATTTTAATGCTGGATATGGTCCCTGAGCCCCGCTGGAAGGGATTCCTGAGGGAGTAAGGCATATATCCTGAGCATAACTGGGTGTGATCCAGAAATCAAAATAAATAAAGGACTGCAGTAAAAATATATCTCTTGGTTTCTGTATTACCCTCTAATAAAAGAAACAATAGAATGTTAAAGATATTATAGGTAAGAAGGACTTAACTAATTTATTCACTTTAATTTTTACTTGAGATCCTGATACCAAAAATTTAAATAACCTTAGATGTCTGGTTCACATATCAAAAATAAAATAAGGTGTTCATTTTTATTAGGAAATGTGTGTATTTTTCATCCAAAACTGATGTCATTGGTAGAAAATTTTCTAATTTTCCCACTTAACTAATTTTTCTTACAGTTGGACGCCAATGGGGAACTGCTCATTCGAAATGCTCAACTCAAACATGCTGGGAGGTATACGTGCACAGCTCAAACAATTGTGGACAATTCGTCAGCTTCCGCTGATCTTGTTGTAAGAGGTAAGAGTGTCCACATGTTAAAATTAGAAACCAGAGGCATTTGATTTGCATAAATATGTATGATTTGGTAGCTCTGGTACAAATGTTTTATGTTCTTTATTCTTGAGAATAACTAAGTGTGTTTCCTGTGTTTGATTCCAGACAAATAATAAGCAACACTGATTTTGTTTGTTTCAGCTAACTACATAACTTGTAGAAACTTAAAGCACTTATCTTCTGCTAAATTTTCCTGCTTTTAACCTAGTGCTAACCATAAATTTTTATTTCCTAGCTAAGAATTTTAGTGTTTTGAAGCAGTCACTTTATTTTTTGAAATATTTTGGTTCTGTTTGCTAAAAACTAAAGTGCTATATATTTATCATATTTGTTTTATAACTGATCAATGCATATACAATTTTTATTTACTATCAGTTTTCAAACTAGTCCCTTTGTCTTAGAAAACTAAATTTATTTCATTTGTAATTTTTTTCATAATAATGAGGCCTGGAGCTTGATTTATAGCAAGGAAAGGAAGGGAAGGAAAAAGCAGAGAGGGGAGGGAAGGGAGAAAATAAAATTAACAATGTGCTAGGTGATATATGCTTACTTGAAATATCAAGTCAATGGGCCAGAGCGATAGTACAGCAGGCAGGGCACTTGCCTTGTTCACGGTGGATTTAGATTGGTTCCTCAAAATCCCACATGTTCCCTGAGTGCCACCAGGAATAATTCTTGAGTGCAGAGGAAGAAGTGTAACACCTGAGCATTGCCAGGTGTGGCTCAAAAACATATATATATATATATATATATATATATATGTATGTGTGTGTCTGTGAATATGTATGTATGTGATATATGCTTATATTATAGATAGATACATAGTTCATTTTCTACTTGTCTCTATTCTATAGTTTGGAATATGAACACCTAGTTTAAAAATTATTCATGCAAGGCTGGTAAGATAATAGGTAGGGTGCCTGCCTTGCACATGGCTAATCTGGATTGCGTCCCTAGCACTGGATATGGTCTCTGGAGCGCCATCAGGTGTGTTTTGCTCCAAAACAACAACAACAAATCATTCACAGGGCTCAGGAAGATAACTCAACAGGTGGTGTGCATGCTTTGCTCGCAGGAGACTGGTTTAATACCTAATGAAAATTGCTGGCTTCTCAAGTACATATGCACACATGTGCATGCTTTTGTAATCATGGATAGTTGAGTGTATGTGTGCCAAAGATCATGAATGATATATGTAAAAGATAATAGAATTCTATCTGAGGTAATTCACCACCTTTTTTATTACATTTAAAATTTTAATTTTTGGTTTGGGGACCAATTCAGCAGTGTTCAGATGCTACTCTGGGCTTGGTGCTTGCAGAAATGATGCTCAGAGTTTACCCTGGGTATGGCACTAAAACTGAGAGAATGTTTACAATAGACATTTTAAAAGTTTTTTTTTTTTTAGTGAAACACCTTGAGGTACAGTTGTAGAGTTACAATTTTTTGTGCTTGGGTTTCAATTATACAATGATCGAGTACCCATCCCTCCACCAGTGCCCGTTTTCCACCATCACAGATCCCAGTACCTCTCCCACCCCCCAGCCCTCCATGACTCTATGGCAGGGCATTCCCTTTTGTTCTCTCTCTCCTTTTGGGTGCTGTGGTTTGCAAAAGAGGCTTTGAGTGGCAATCATGTTCAGTCTATAGTCTACTTTCAGCATGCATCTCTCATCCTTGGAGGATCCTCCCAACACCCTTTATTTGGTGCTCCCTTCTCTATCTGAGCTGCCTTTTCCCCTAGCATGTGCGGCTGGCCTCCAAGCCATGGAGTGAGTACTTATCCTGGTACTTATCTTGGCTATTCTTGGGTGTTAATCTCCTATTTTGTTACCTTTTAAAGAGAAATTTTCTATTTACATTAAAATCAAGAGAAAATATTTGCAAATCATGTATCCAACTAAAGTTTTGTTGGCATAATATAATAAATTTTTTTAATTGAATCACCATGAGACACATTTACAAAGCTTTCATGTTTGAGTTTCAGTCATACAATAATCAAGCACCCATCCCTCCACCAGTGGACATTTTGCACCACCAATGTCCCCAGTATGTCCCACTCCCATCCCACCTATCCCCTATCTCTATAACAGACAGTTTCCTTCTTAATCCTGCTCTACTTTTGGGCATTATGGTTTGCAATACAGATACTGAGAGGCCATCATTTTTGGTTCCTTACCTGCATTCAGCACACATCTCCCATCCCGAACAATCCCTCCAACCATCATTGACTTAGTGATCCCTTCTCTATCCCACCTGCTTTCTCCTCCAGCTCCTAAGGTGGGCTTCCAACTGTGAAGCAGTCTTCCTGGCCCTTATGTCTACTGTCCTAGGGTATCAGTCTCATTATGTTAACATAATAAAATCTTAAAGCTCAAAATTAAACTAATACAATACAATATGATAACAAGCAAAAAGACATTTTATGAAGCGTATACTAAGAGTAAATAATCTTTTTCTACTAAGATTTAGTATTGTCACTGTCCTCCCGTTGTTCATCGATTTGCTCGAGCGGGCTCAGTAACATTGTGAGACTTGTTACTGTGTTTGGCGTATAGAATACATCACGGGTAGCTTGCCAGGCTTTGCCGTATGGGCGAGATACTCTCAGTAGCTTGCCAGGCTCTCTGAGAGGGGCAGAGGAATCGAACTTAGGTCCGACACATGCAAGGAAAACGCCCAACCCGCTGTGCTATCACTCCAGCCCTGTGCTAGGTTTACTATTGTGTTCTTTAATTTATTCAGTTCATTTTCTATGGAATCTGTCATCTTCTGAATCAGTTCTTCTTTGAGTTGGTCAAATTTCTCATTTAGTGATTGCTTAATTTCACTGTTTAGTACCTGTTTAATTTCTATTGCCAGTGTAGTTGATTTCAGTTCCTCAGTGACCAGGCTAGAGAGTTTTAGTGGACTTGAGGATTTGCTTGGTTTTTTATTCTTATTTCACCTGCAATTGGGTTCCTTAGTTTCCCCATTATTCTTTGACTTTTATGTGGGTTAATGGTGGAGGTATAGATTCCCAGTTTCTTAAGAATTATCTGTTCAGATGTTTATACCAGAAGTCTACTGATCATACCTTTGTTGTTCAGATTATTTTCTTTAGTGCTAATTGAATATGGCGAGGGATCTTTAACTCTATTTAGTTGACAGAGATTTATGATTGTATTAGGTCAGTGAAGTATGGTTGTTGCATTCCAATGGCTTTAATATGAGTGTGTGCAGTAATAATTTCACATGAACACTAGCTTGTTTGCATGGTTTGGGGTTTGGAGAATTAGAGTTGAAGCCAAACCATGCAGCTTCCTGATTTAGAGCAGGGTTGGCAAGGTTTAAGGCCCTTGGGGTCCCTGGCACAGGCTATCTGTCAAAAGCCAGGCCGTCAGACAAATGTGCTAGGTGAAAAGGAAGCTCAGATAGAGAAGAGAGCACCAAATAAAGGGTGTTGTGAGACCCTCCCAGGGTGGGAGAAGCATGCTAAAAGTAGTCTATAGACCAAACATGATTGCCACTCAAGGTCTCTCTTGCAAAACACAGTACACAAAAGAAGAGAGAGAGAACAAGGGGGAATGCCCTGCCACAGAGGCAGGGTGGGACGGGGGGGGGGGATAGGGGGTGGGAGGGATGCTGGGACCTGTGGTGGTGGAGGATAGGCACTGGTGGAGGGATGGGTACTTGATCATTGTATAACTGAAACCCAAGCACAAAAATTTGTAAGTCTATAACTGTACCTCATGGTGTTTCACTAATAAAAAAAAATTAAGAAAAAAAAAAGCCCAGCCAAAAGGAGATGGTGGTAATGGGCAGAGTCTCCTAGGTTGTTTTTTATAAATTTTAATTGGCAACGTTTGTGTGTGTGTATGTGTATGTGTGTGTGTGTGTATGAACCATTCTGCTTTGTTTCATAGCCCAAAGTAAAGTGTATGTATTTATGTTCGGTGCTCTCTTTAATTTTACTTCTTGGATTGATATTCACCAGAATTTAGAAGATGAATTTTTTGGGTTTATTAATCTGCTTTTAAACCTTCCCTTGATTATACAATTCTCAAAGCAAACAAAACTTAATGCATGATAAATAGAACTAGAAACTGAGGGGTTAATGTATGGGGACAAGACCTTAGGATAATGGTGGAGAAATCTCGAAATCTTGAAACACTGGTAGAAGGAGTGGTTAAACTATAAAAGGGTCTATATTTATACAATAATGACTTCGGTACTATTGTAAACTATTATACCTCAACAAAAGAACCAATACAAAAAATAATGGAAACTAAAATCCTTCTCTTGGATTAATGAATATAATATAGCCAAATAACTTTATAATATGTCTTTAGTCTACATAATTTGCTGTATTTAATGATATATCAAAACAATATCATTAAGTGATTAATGCCTTTTTTTAATATTGAAAATGCTCTTCAGTGTTTATTGCTCCTAACCAATCTAGATTTTCAGAGCTCATATCCAGAGCATACTCTCTAGGCTAAATTATGTTTTGTGTATTTATTTATAGATATTGTTGCATATTAGTTACTATTTATTGAAAACAAATGAAATAAGTAAATATTTCTTTGAGGTCTTATAATTATTCATGTATTGTGTCTTTTTTACCTTCCGATTTCTTCTTGACATTTATATGATATTTCTGCACTTATGATTAAAAATGAGTATATTCTTCAGAATGTTGAATTTGGAGGTTATGTAAATAATTTCCATCCCTACATTTTGTAAATTTGTGTTGAGAGACTTTTCATATATTAGCCATATATTTAGTGGCCAACAACTTGGAATTCCATGTCAGTTTTTCACTTCACACTAGACTTTTTCCAGAAGCTTTGCATAAACAATATAGTTAATTTCTGAAACTTCTATTTTAGGCATTCAAAATTTTAATAATCTAACATAGTCTGTAGCTAATTTATTAGTATACCATAAGATTACCAATTCTTTTTTAGATATTACTGTTT